GTATTACGAGGCACTTCAAAGTAGTTTACAATACTTCAGATAATTCAGGATACTTCAGATAATTCAAAATACAACAGATAATTCTAAATACTTCAAGATACTTCAGGATATTTCAGATAATTCAAAATACTTCAAGATACTTCACGATATTTAAAAATGTCTAAAGATAATTCAAAATATTAAGAGGCACTTCAAAGTAGTTTACGATATTTCAGATAATTCATAATACTTCAGATAATTCAAGATACAACAGATAATTCAAAATACTACAAGATACTTCAGGATATTTGAAAATGTCTAAAGATAATTCAAAGTATTACGAGGCACTTCAAAGTAGTTTACGACACTTCAAATAATTCAAGATACTTCAGATAATTCAGGATACTTCAGATAATTCAAAATACTTCAAGATACTTCAGGATATTTGAAAATGTCTAAAGATAATTCAAAGTATTACGAGGCACTTCAAAGTAGTTTACGATACTTCAAATAATTCAAGATACTTCAGATAATTCAGGATACTTCAGATAATTCAAAATACAACAGATAATTCTAAATACTTCAAGATACTTCAGGATATTTCAGATAATTCAAAATACTTCAAGATACTTCACGATATTTAAAAATGTCTAAAGATAATTCAAAATATTAAGAGGCACTTCAAAGTAGTTTACGATATTTCAGATAATTCATAATACTTCAGATAATTCAAGATACAACAGATAATTCAAAATACTACAAGATACTTCAGGATATTTGAAAATGTCTAAAGATAATTCAAAGTATTACGAGGCACTTCAAAGTAGTTTACGACACTTCAAATAATTCAAGATACTTCAGATAATTCAGGATACTTCAGATAATTCAAAATACTTCAAGATACTTCAGGATATTTGAAAATGTCTAAAGATAATTCAAAGTATTACGAGGCACTTCAAAGTAGTTTACGATACTTCAAATAATTCAAGATACTTCAGATAATTCAGGATACTTCAGATAATTCAAAATACTTCAGATAATTCAAAATACTTCAAGATACTTCAGGATATTTGAAAATGTCTAAAGATAATTCAAAGTATGAAGAGGCACTTTAAAGTAGTTTACGATACTTCAGATAATTCAGGATACAACAGATAATTATAAATATTTCAAGGTACTTCAGGATATTTGAAAATGTCTGAAGGTAATTCAGAGTATTACGAGGCGCAGTTGAAAGTATTTTACGATACTTCAGATAATTCTGGATACTTCAGATAATTTAAAATACCTCATAGTTCTACAAGGTGCATTCAGAATACTCCACAATACTTCAGATAATTTAAAGTACTTCAAGGTACTTGAGGATAATTCAAGATAACTTATAGTACTTCAAGGTATTTCAGAATATTTCTCGATACTTCAGATAATTTAAAATACTTCAGAGTACTTCAAGGTGTATTTATAATACTTCTCAATACTTCAGATAATTCATAAAACTTCAAATAATTTAAAGTACTTTAAGATACTTCAAGATAACTCATAGTACCTAAAGGTATTTTAGAGTATTTTATATATGTTGTATGTTTAAAAAGAACAAAAACAAAAAATGAAATTATTTTCCAAAAAGATAAAAGCAGATCAGAGATAAAGTTTTCTTGAGATTTAAAATCTTCTATATATGGAAAAAAAAAGTGGAACATGAAATCAAAAATCTCAAGAGTATAAAAATTTTCCTATTACGGGAAACTCATATTTTTTAGGGTCAATTTCCTCTAAATTTTCCACTTTAAAATACTCATGTATAAACTTCAATTTCATTCCGGTCAAGAGAAAATTCGTTCATTCCTTCGTAAATTTATTTTTACCAACACCAAGTTATATTTATATTATTTCGATATAAATATTTTTCAGTTAATCTATTTTTATGGATAAAATAAAATTTAATCACAATAATTATTATATTGAAAATTCTACTTTTTCAAAAAAAAAAAAATCAAAATTTCACTCTTCATTTGTATGGAAAAACGAATAAAATCCATTTGTCATTTGGCTTGACAAACATGGAGTGTCCAGTGGAAATTTCAAGGAAAACGAGGGTCTCCTAAATTCCAGAGACGCCGAAAAAAAAGAGAGAAAAGCTGAAAAAAAAGGAAGTGGCAGGCTCACTGACTCGGAAAATACTTATCGAACTTTATGGACGTTGGGAGGAAAAAAAAGGGGGGGGGACCACACAGCTCTCTATATATAAGGACAGTGAGATATTTTTCAGCTCGTGCTTCGCGCGTTGAGACAACAACACGTAAAAGAACTTCTCTCTCTTTCTCTCTCTCTCTCTCTCTCTCTCTCTCTCTCTCTCTCTCTCTCTCTCTCTCTCTTTATACAGAGATCGTGAAAACTTCATTTCACATAGTGTCACGAGTGTGCGGAAAAATCCTTTAACAGAAGATTCGGCTGCAATGCTCGTTTTACTCATCAAATGAATTCTGATGAATTCCCTCGTTCGAACGTGTGCAGTGAACGTGTCCAAAGGAGGAAGGGGGGGGGGCAAAAGGTTACACGTTTGCAGGATGCGAAGGAAAATGGACAGTTGCCAACGACAATAGAGAATTGGCAGCAATCGAGGTGCGACTTGTCTATCTCCTTATACGTATATATATATATATATATATATATATACATGTGGTTTAAGAGGAACGAGAGAAAAAGATTCGAATCGCTTCTATTTTTCCTGATTCAAAGCTACTACAAATATTCTTCATTCTTGACAGTTTTGTTGTGATTAATCTCACATTTAGAGGAAACTTCATCTTTTAATCTTTAAAAATCAAGAAATACAATAAAACAAATATAGCAAATTTTCATAGGGATTGCCGCTAGGTTCGAGGCTATTTTCGATAGACATAACCTTAAATTAATATCAAATTTTGGCGGGAAATCACACCCCTTAATAAATAAGCGTATATAATCTCAAAATTTATGTAAATTTCAACTGTGAATATAGCCAAAGAAATTCCCCAGAACTGTCGCTGGGTTCGAGGCTATATTCGACAAACATAACCTCAAATTCAAAATTTTTGACGTGAAATTCCTCCCCTAATCAAGAAACAATCATAATCTCAAAATTTAGTTCAAATTTTGGCGGGAAATACCTCCCGCCCTAACGGACAAACGAACATAACCTGAAAATTTATGTGAATTTTGACTGTTAATACAGCCGCAAATGAATTGCCGCTGGGTTCGAGGCTATATTCGACAAACATAACCTCAAATTCAAAATTTTTGACGTGAAATTCCTCCCCTAATTAAGAAACAATCATAATCTCAAAATTTAGTTCAAATTTTGGCGGGAAATACCTCCCGCCCTAACGGACAAACGAACATAACCTAAAAATTTATGTGAATTTTGACTGTTAATACAGCCGCAAATGAATTGCCGCTGAGTTCGAGGCTATAATCGAAATAACCTCAAATTTTGTCTGTAAATCGCCCCCGATAACAAATAAGCGTATATAACCTCAAAATTTATATGAATTGTTACTGTGAATATAGCCGCAAGTCCCTAAGATTTCCGCTGAATTCAAGACTATGTCCAACAAATATAACCTTAAACTCCCTTAAGGCCTTAGCAGAATAGAAACGTAACCGGAATCGTAATCGCAAACGCAACCGAAAGAATGAGTTAGAAAAGGATAGATATATTGTTTGTCCTTCTCTAACTCATTATTCCGGTTACGATTCCAGTTACGTTTCTATTCTCCTTTGGCCTTTAATCAAAAAACGAACATAACCTCAAAATTTTAATATTTGCAAGTATTTTAAAAAAAAAATTAAGCCTCAAAATGAAAAAGAACCTTAGTTTACATATATACAGAGTGGTAATATAGTATTTTTTACATTATAAGTATAATAATGGTTCCATTATACTTACAATGTTTTCATGAGCAATTTTTTTTTTTTTTTCAAAACATAACAGTAATATTATTCCTTTATATTACTGAAATAATGATCGTGTTAAACTTTATATATTTGACTTGGAATTTTTCTTTTCTTTCTTGTTTTTTATTATTATAACTCGCGGGTTATTACAATATATATATATAAGAAGAAAATATTTCCCAGCATTCTTTGCGTATACGCAAAAGAACATAATAAAAAAAAGACCTGATTATATGCTTGTGGCTATACAAAATTTATGGTTAATAATAACTGCTATATATATAAGTATATTTACACCCCCCACCCCCCTCTCCATTTTTATCGTTCAAATAACTGTAAAAACACGCTGAGAAACAAAGTTTTCTATGTTCTCTATATAAATTCGTAAAACTATTACGACATTTCGTTCAATAAAAGAAAAATTGTATTTCTCGTTAATATATGAAAAATAATTTAAAAAAAAAAAAAAAATAAATTTTTACTATATATAGAGAAAAAAAAATGTTCACCTGGAATAGTGATAAGTTTGACTAAAAGAGAGATATGTTTTACTAAAACAGCGAAAGTTTTCATTATTCTGGAGAAACATATCGTTGTTCCAGATAAATTTTTTTTTTCCGTGTTATAAAATAATATTCCATTCCCATTTGAAAAGATTCCCCGGGGAAAGTGCCCCCTGGAGGTTCTATCAGAATTCCGCTGAAACTTCTAACGTAATTCCGTCGGAATTCCATCGGAGCTCCAAAGAATTTCCGATGAGATTCCGACGGAATTAGGACTCTAAAAATTTTGAAAAAATTAATCGGAATTCCGTCAGAATTCCGTCGGAATTCCATCAGAATTCCGTCGGAATTCCATCGGAAATTCTTTGGAACTACGATATAATTCCGACGGAATTACGTTGGAAGTTCCGGCGGAATTCTGATAGAATCTCCAAGGGGCACTTTCCAGGGAATTTTTTCAAGTGGGTTTTAATCGACAGAAAGAAAAATTGTTTTCTTCAATATTGAGAAAATGTAATATTTAGAATAATTAATTAATATGGGATTTTAAATTAATATATATATATATATATATTGACTCACCGATCAGGAGGACCAGCAGAGAGGTCGAATCCATTCCCGAGGTCCAAGTTCGACGAGGCAAGGTCGGTTCAACGCATTCTTGAAAGTTTCCTGAAATAAGAGAAAGGAAATATGCGGTCAAGAGAGAGATAAAGAGAGAGAGAGATATCAAGTCTATGAGAAGGAGAGTGAAAAGCCGTAAGGAATGGCCCTTGAACTTCGAACTTCTTACGACTTACACTTTTAATCAATGGGGATCATAAAAGTTTAGAAATTATTAAATATACTCATTTTTCCTTGCATAATGACATATATATTTAAATCAAATAAAAATTTATTAAAATCAAATAAACATTTATTTGCCTCTGAGACAAATATATCATTTCTCTAATGGGTGTTTAAATATCACGAAAAAAAATATTTATCTGGAACAGCGATATGTTTCTCTAGAATAACGAAAACTTTCCCTATTTTAGTGAAACATATCTCTGTTCCAATGAAACTTATCGCTATTTCAGGTGAAAATTTTTTTCCATGATAGATAAAATAAAATTACTATAAATTTTTAAAAAAACACAGAAAATTAAAAGGCATTAAAATAAGCTGCAACGCTTCTTATTTTAATCCAATTTTGCTTATTTTAATCCATTTTGGTATTAAAATAAGCAAAATTGGATTAAAATAAGAAGCGTTGCAGCTTATTTTAATGCCTTTTAATTTTCTGTGAAATCAGTAAAATTAAATATTTGTACTGCATTAGAAAAAAAAACAGTTTATATAATAGAAATGAATTGTGTGTATAAGAGAGCAAATTCTTAGGGTTTTTGTCAGCAATAAGAGAGAGAGAGAGAGAAAACAAGGATTACATTACATCGTTGGGCGATTTCTCCGCTGTTTAACCAGTCCTCATTATCGCTGCATTTTAGATTAAGCCCAAACCCTTATTCTCTAACACCAAGAATGACTCCTTCCAAACTCTCAGTAATAAGTACACTATAAATATTAAATTCTCGCAGCAAGAGAGAGAGAGAGACTATCAACTTGTAATTATCTCGTGTGATTGCTTCTCAATTTTATTATTATAACAATCTGTTTTACATACACATATATGTATATGTTATCTAATCTAATTTTCCATTTTGTTTTACGTGCATTTTTATTGTCAATTAAAGAAGCTATATACATGATTAAAACACAATCACGTTTAAAAAATACAGAGAAAATATATAAAGTACTTTTTTTATATATATATGTATAAAAAAGAGCAATCAATGTAAAATATTTTTTCTGATTTCCTTTTTTTGAAATATTTCAAACAATTCTCATTTACTAATTGTATGTGTTTCAAATATGCTACATTATTTTTTTCAATTTGAAAAATTATACAATTTTTATGGAAAAAAAATATGTGCAATATTTCACTTTTAAAATTAATTAATTAATTATAAATAATAAAAATGAAATTATAATTAATTAAAAGTAATTATAATTAAGAAAAAGTAATTATAATTAATTAAAATTAATAACAAGTAACAATAATTAATTAAAATTTAAGTATTATTGTTATTTGAACTGAAATAGAAATTTTTCTCATCGAAGAATTATAATTGAGTTTGACTATTGGCCGACTTTTCTACTTTTGCCATAACTACTGTCTGACCAAATCGTTTTTTCTACTTTCCTTTTTAATTTTACTAAAAGGCAATTTTTTTACTAATTCGTCTGACTATTCACGAATTTTTCTACTTTTGTCTGATCAAAAAAAAAAAATTCTACTTACAATTTTTAATTTTACTTAAAATCAAATTTTTTTAATCAAGAAAATAATTTCGTCTCAGTATTAAAGGATTTTGCTACTTCTTACTAAAAAAAAATACATTCGTCTGACTATGAACGGTTTTTTCCACTGTTTTTCAATTTGTCTAACTTTTTTTTCTACTTACGATTTTTAATTTTACTTACTCTCTAAATCTGAATTAGTAAAAAAATTTACTAATTTGAATTAGTGACTCATTTTTTACTTCTCAATTAGTAAAATTTTACTAATTATTAGTAACTTTTACTAACAATTAGTAAAATTTAACTAATTCTAAAGCAAAAAGTGAGTCACTAATTTAAATTAGTAAACATTTTTACTAATTCAGATTTAGAGAGTAAAGGCAATTTTTTCTTATTAAAGAAAATAATTTTGTCTGACTATTGACGGTTTTTTCTACTTCGAGCTATTGAATACTTCTTACGAATATTTCTATCTAAAATTGTTATTTAAACAATATTTTCTAAAAATAAAAAAAGATACTAAAAATTTCCACAATAAATTTTTTACACCATTTCTTGAAGAAAAGTGCAACTATCTCTCGTAACGAATGAAAATAACCTGTCAATGGATGAAAAATACGAGTCATACAAGACATCTTGTACCTTTAGATATGAAATATATCTGATAGAAGAAAACTCAGCCATGTGCAACATAAATATATATCCGAGTTATAAAAAAATATATATATATATATATATCAAAGCCGAATTGGCCGCAAAAGGAAGGAGCATTGCATCAGGTACTAGGTGGTCCGGATATGGTGGATGGTGTTGGAGATCAGTTGCAAAGAGAACCTAGAGAGTGAGAGGAGAGAGAGAGAGAGAGAGAGAGAGAGAGAGAGAGAGAGAGAGAGAGAGAGAGAGAGAGAGAATGGAATGGAAATGGTCCAGGGAGGGAGATGTAGCTTGCACCGGAAGCGTGACGGCGGCCATTTTTCACAGCACGGACATCCGTTTCCGGTCTGCGATCACCGCGAAATACAAACAAAAATGTGGAGGGGGACCAGGAAATATGCGAGAGAAAAAGAAGAGTAAATATAGTCTCTGACGCTCATTCGCTCATTCTTGTTTTATCGCCAGAAACCAACGATATACAATTTTTCTTTCAAGAATTTTAAAATTCATAATCAATATTTAAAAATTTTATTCTATAATTTTTAATAACTATTAATGAAAAATTTTGAAAAAAAAATTATAATAATCTTATGAATATTTATGAAAATACAATAATAAATTAATAATTAATAAAAATAAATTTATAAATAAATACAAGGAAACCATCTTTACCTAAAACAGCGAAAGTTTTTGCTATTCTAGAGAAAAATATCGCTGTTTCAGAAAAAGATTTTTTTCCCATGTATTATATTATTTATAATTTTTTATTTATTCATATTTATATTTTTTTTTTAAATTATAGTTTATCTAAACTAATATTGCCAAAATAGAATTTTATTATTTGATAATAATTGCAACTTTTACTAACTCGATATGCTTTTCCCGCATTGCTTTTGAAATTAACCTATTTGTCTCGCTCTGTAATTACGTATTATCCTTTGGAGCTTTTGTCCAGAAATGCACTAGAGTGAGTTCCTGAATGGTGATATAATTACTTCATCGCTTCAAATATTCCCTTTTTTATATTATATATATATATAAAAAAAAAAGATCTTTAAGGCCTCTTTTCATAAATAAAGGCAAAATATTACTTCTCTTAATTTTTTCCTAATTAAAATTTTAAAACTTTTTTGTCTCAACGAAAAAAAAAATTAAAATAATTTCTTAAACTGAAAAATTCAGTTTTACTATGAAAATTCAGAAAAAGATTCTAAAAATTCAACAAATTATTAAAAAGGAAAAATCTTTAATTAACATACTAATGTGTTTATGATATAAAATTTTTTTTTCTGACAATATTTTTCACACGGATTTTATATATCGATCAACTAAAAATTCAGATTAAAATTTAAAATAACCAGAGCAGACAGAATACGATTAAGAGAGAATTTTTAGTTTAATAAGAAACGTGCCAATTCACATATTTTATTCTGCTATCTAAAAATAGTTATATACTTTTTACTTTAATTTCAATAATTTTCTTTCAATAATTAAATTTTTTTTTTTTAATTTACATATTTTTTATGTTGATGAAAATTCTCCTAATTGGAAATCAATAGCGACCAAGTGAAGAAATATTGAACGGGCCCAGGTCAGGAAGCTCCAAGAACTCGATGGGGGGCCACAGAAGAAAGTCCTATTTCGATTAAAATCGATTAGAACCTGGGTTCCCGACCAGGGCCTTGCTTGACTACGCTGCCCTGCTTCAGCCAGGTTAGGGCCAGTTTTGCGAATTTCTATCAGTTTTACTTATACAAGGCACTATAATTTTTGTTTCCTGACTAAAAAATTAAAAAAATAATACTTAAAAATCGTTTTTTTTTCAATAATTTTTCTCTTATACCAAATTGGAATTAATTTTAAAACAAGAATTGATATTTAAATATTTTTGAAAACGTCAAAAGACACACACACACACACACATACACAGTTTCATCAAAAGAAAATCGGATCAACACGTGAAGAGAATTCAAGATTGAAATCGCAAGAGTCGTGATAAGAATTTTTTCGATAGACCCAAGGAGGATGCTTGCCTCTGATGTATTTCTACAGAGTTGCAATACTTTTTTCCTATATATATATATACACATAAAAAGAGAAAGAGAGAGAGAGAAAGAAAGAGACTTTTTAAAACCCGAGTCTCGGTCTGAGCAAAAACCTTTCACGGTTCGATAAAAGCAGCTTAAAAGAGCAACGAAATCGCATCGAATCTAACACTGAAATCTACGTAATTCTTATACTATATACCCCCCTAAAGACGGAACTTTTTTTTTTTTTTTTTTTAACAAAGATTTGAAATCTTTTCAAATCGCCTTTGCCGGTACATGATACGTTTTTCAATATAAATCCCCCTTTTGTCAATTATCCATTTTGGATATTGTTAAATTTAACTTTAAAATTCTATTAAAATTTAGAATATTTTTTTTTTATCAACCTGTGGATAAAAATATAATATAATATAATAAAAATGTAATATTATATAATGTAGTATATTATAATATATAATATAAATAATAAATCGCGTGCAAAAATTCGCCAACCTGGCTCTAACCTGGCTGAAACAGAGCACTGGGAAAAAATATCGTCAAAGTAAAAAACTATGCTGATGTGAAAATTTACTCTTCTTCACAGCTTACAAATATACGAAGAGTCATTGATAATTTTTTTTTTTTTTCGAT